GTGTCCTGATTTTTTGACATTTTACCACTGAAAACCACCACAGAAGTAGAGAACAGCCTGGATGTAGAGAACAGCCCGGATGTAGAGAACAGTCTGGATGTAAAGAACAGTCTGGATGTAAAGAACAGTTTGGAAGTAGAGAACAGTCTGGATGTAAAGAACAGTCTGGAAGTAGAGAACAGCCTGGATGTAGAGAACAGTCTGATGTAAAGAACAGTCTGGAAGTACAGGTGCTGGTCATAAAATTAGAATATCATGAAAAAGTAGATTGATTTCAGTAATTCCATTTAAAAAGTGAAACTTGTATATTATATTCATACATTACATACAAACTCATATATTTCAGATGTTTATTTTGTTTAATTTTGATGATTACAAATGACAACAAATGAAAATCTCAAATTCATCATATCAGAAAATTAGAATATTACTGAAGACCAATAAAAACAAAGGATTTATAGAAATGTTGGCCAACTGAAAAGTATGAACATGAAAAGTATGAGCATGTACAGCACTCAGTATTTAGTTGGGCCTCCTTTGGCCTGTATTACTGCAGCAATGCGGCGTGGCATGGAGTCGATCAGTCTGTGGCACTGCTCAGGTGCTATGATAGCCCAGGTTGCTCTAATAGTGGCTTTTAGCTCTTCTGAATTGTTGGGTCTGGTGTATTGCATCTTCTTCTTCACAATACCCCATAGATTTTCTATGGGGTTAAGGTCAGGAGAGTTTGCTGGCCAATTAAGAACAGGGATACCATGGTCCTTCAACCAGGTACTGGTAGCTTTGGCACTGTGTGCAGGTGCCAAGTCCTGTTGGAAAATGAAATCTGCATCTCCAAAAAGTTGGTCAGCTGCAGGAAGCATGAAGTGCTCTAAAACTTCCTGGTATGTGGCTGCGTTGACCCTGGACCTCAGAAAACACAATGGACCAACACCAGCAGATGACATGGCACCCCAAACCATCACTGACTGTGGAAACTTTACACTGGACTTCAAGCAACGTGGATGAAGTGCCTCTCTTCTTTTCCTCCAGACTCTGGGACCTTGATTTCCAAAGGAAATGCAAAATTTACTTTCATCAGAGAACATGACTTTGGACCACTCACCAGCAGTCCAGTCCTGTTTCTCTTTAGCCCAGGCAAGACGCTTCTGACGCTGTCTGTGGTTCAAGAGTGGCTTGACACAAGGAATGCGACAGCAGAAACCCATGTCTTTCATACGTCTGTGTGTGGTGGTTCTTGAAGCACTCACTCCAGCTGCAGTCCACTCTTTGTGAATCTCCCCCACATTTTTGAATGGGTTTTGTTTCACAATCCTCTCCAGGGTGCGGTTATCTCTCTTGCTTGTACACTTTTTTCGACCACATCTTTTCCTTCCCATCGCCTCTCTATTAATGTGCTTGGACACTGAGCTCTGTGAACAGCCAGCCTCTTTAGCGATGACCTTTTGTGTCTTGCCCTCCTTGTGCAAGGTGTCGATGGTCGTCTTTTGGACAACTGTCAAGTCAGCAGTCTTCCCCATGATTGTGTAGCCTATAGAACTAGACTGAAAGACCATTTAAAGGCTTTTGCAGGTGGTTTGAGTTAATTAGCTGATTAGAGTGTGGCACCAGGGGCCATCAATTTTGAACCTTTTCACAATATTCTAATTTTCTGATATGATGAATTTGAGATTTTCATTTGTTGTCATTTGTAATCATCAAAATTAAACAAAATAAACATCTGAAATATATGAGTTTGTATGTAATGTATGAATATAATATACAAGTTTCACTTTTTAAATGGAATTACTGAAATCAATCTACTTTTTCATGATATTCTAATTTTATGACCAGCACCTGTAGAGAACAGCCTGGATGTAGAGAACAGTCTGGAAGTAGAGAACAGCCTGGATGTAAAGAACAGTCTGGAAGTAGAGAGCAGTCTGGGATCAGCTGGTTTTCACTCTGAGCTATCAGAGCTCATCAAAGCAGCTCAGGGGTCTGGATAAAAACAATTAAAACATGAAGTCAGTCAGTCTATAATGTTTGTTCCCCATTCATCCAGTTTAAATGTGATTATAAGGGAGTTACTCAGAAAAGCTGCAGTTTTATAAATACAGCTTTATAATAGGTTTTTAATTTGTATTTATTTTGATTCATTACTAACTTCAACATACTGCAACATACTGTTTTTATTTATTTGAGATAAAAAAAACATAAATTTATATTTAAATTAAACGCTCAAATTAAAAGATGAAGCGAAATATTCTTTATTTAATTTAGGACAATCACTTTATATATTGCACAGGGTGTTTATATGGCTAGGTAGGTAGTTACATATTGCACTGGGTGTTTACATGGGTAGGTAGGTAGTTATATATTGCACAGGGTGTTTACATGGGTAGTTAGGTAGTTATATATTGCACAGGGTGTTTACATGGGTAGTTAGGTAGTTACATATTGCACAGGGTGTTTACATGGGTAGTTAGGTAGTTATATATTGCACAGGGTGTTTACATGGGTAGTTAGGTAGTTACATATTGCACAGGGTGTTTACATGGGTAGGTAGGTAGTTATATATTACACAGGGTGTTTACATGGGTAGTTAGGTAGTTATATATTGCACAGGGTGTTTACATGGGTAGTTAGGTAGTTACATATTGCACAGGGTGTTTACATGGGTAGGTAGGTAGTTATATATTGCACAGGGTGTTTACATGGGTAGGTAGGTAGTTATATATTGCACAGGGTTTTTACATGGGTAGTTAGGTAATTATATATTGCACAGGGTGTTTACATGGGTAGTTAGGTAGTTATATATTGCACAGGGTGTTTACATGGGTAGTTAGGTAGTTATATATTGCACAGGGTGTTTACATGGGTAGTTAGGTAGTTATATATTGCACAGGGTGTTTACATGGGTAGGTAGGTAGTTATATATTGCACAGGGTGTTTATATGGGTAGTTAGGTAGTTATATATTGCACAGGGTGTTTACATGGGTAGTTAGGTAGTTATATATTGCACAGGGTGTGTACATGGGTAGTTAGGTAGTTATATATTGCACAGGGTGTTTACATGGGTAGTTAGGTAGTTATATATTGCACAGGGTGTTTACATGGGTAGTTAGGTAGTTATATATTGCACAGGGTGTTTATATGGGTAGTTAGGTAGTTATATATTGCACAGGGTGTTTACATGGGTAGTTAGGTAGTTATATATTGCACAGGGTGTTTACATGGGTAGGTAGGTAGTTATATATTGCACAGGGTGTTTATATGGGTAGTTAGGTAGTTTTATATTGCACAGGGTGTTTACATGGGTAGTTAGGTAGTTATATATTGCACAGGGTGTTTACATGGTCTGCGTATCAAATAGTAATTGCTAGTGATGTTATGAGATGGGCCGAGGCTTCGAGGCAGGTGTCGAGTAATGGAGGGCGCAAGAATTTAGACAGGCATCTAAACAGCCTCAGAGTTCAGTCAAGATGTGGGAGTTTGGAGGAGAGCTGCTGTTAGCTGGATAGAGCTTGGATAGATTCTAATAGATTGGTTGTTTTTCCAACCAATCTAGTTGGTTAAAACTAATTTGGTTAGAATAAACAATGTAATGATCAAAATCTGAGGAAACCAGCGAACAAGGTCAGTGTTAACACATCAGTGTTAAGTAATATTTTCTCCCTGCTATGGTTATCTAGATGGGTGGCGTCATCTGTAAGAGACAGGCTCTCTTACAGATGTTGATGGTTCAAGACCGGTCTTTGACTTAAATTAGGTCAGTTTAGCCAAAAGATTGGTTGAACACAACTTCCAACCTGATTAAAACCAAAAAATGTGGAAAAATTATCATGTTTGAATAAAAATGACAAACACCTTTTATTTTGCTCATCATTGCTCATCAAAGTAATTTCCCTTAGGGATTATTAAGGGAAATTGCCCAATTTGCACAAACACTTTTACTGTCTGCTTGAGTTTATTTAACTAAAATGGCAGAAAAACTGAGCACCTTAAATGATTGTTCTAAGCAATTTTGCACTTAAAAAAATTACTAAAGATTTTATTATACACACAACCATTAACAATTTCAAAGGAACTTAAAAGGGAAAAAAAAAAGAACAGTTGCAAAAAAAAAACCCCACAGATTTTATTACAAACTGTAGTTCTGCTGTCAACCAGTAGGTGGTGACATGTTCACATGAAGCCTCATGAACTGTGGGGATCGTTGAAGCAATTTGGCCAAACGGTTCAATGCCTCATGAGGCTTCATCTCACCATCACTAGTAATTGCAAATTCTACATTGCAGCAGTTATTGCCGTTGTAGAGTCTGGAGGCAGCAGGGATGAATGAGCTGCAGTAGCATTCAGACTCACATCCTTGTTAACTATTGAGTATATGAATGTACATCAATGTTTGTGCTTCTGAGAAGAAAAAATATTATTTCATCCATCTTTTATTAATCTTGGCAAAGTTCTACAATTTGCTGCTGAGAAACTTCGTTTTAAACTGTTCTTCTGCTAATTCGACCTGATGAAACCCCAAAGGAATCTGGAAACTGATTCATGTAAAGTTTGTATTCATCCATCTGTGGCAGCTTCTCCCCTTGGCATTATCATTTCCCCTGTCCACTATATATTATATATATGTCCACTATATATTACATATATAGTGGACATATAATGTACTATAAATATTATATTTCAATCGTGGAATATCAACATGATTTGACCATAATAATAATGTCTATGTTGGAGGATGGAGCCGCTGGATTCGAACACAGCCCACTCTCCCTGACTGTGAAGGAGCCTTTTAACATGGTGGCAAAGGTCAGTTCATTGCATTAAGAAGTTAATTAGAAATATCTATCTTAAAACGCTTTTAGCCCCGTTAAAACAGCAGCTCCCCCCTTACTGAGACGGTTTACATTCCCCTCCCAATATGGCGGAAGCGGTGACGTGTCGGCGGCAGGTCATCTTCAGCTAGCTTGGTTCAAATGTAGCAGCAGGTCAAATATGATTCTCTTACCTGAACAGAAAACACCGGAAGCTGTCCGCTATTCGGGTTAAATTAAAGCCAGCTGGTCATTTCCGGTCCTAAGAGGGTTAGCTCATCTGTTAGCCTGGAGGCTAACGGCTCTGCCAGCTGCTGCTGCTGCAGGGGCGTTCCTATTGCGCGTCATTACAGAATGTGACGTAGAAAACAAGGACGTTACATAATTTCCGCTATTTTTTCACCCATTATTTATGACGTTTATGTAGAAAAAAAAAAGCATAAATAACAAACTCTTCCAAAGGTTCACTCACTGCAATAAGGAGGGAAAGAACAATAATACCGGATTACAGTGGTTTACCACGGGTCTGGATTAAGATTTTCAATCAGACGCAGATTTGTTGTTCTTTGTGAGGCACTATCCTTTAGAGACTTGATTTTATTTTCACTCCTGTCACAGTGAAACAGTGTTCACAGTGTCCCCTATTCAGATGGATCTGGTTTAAACTGGGATTAAATGTAATTAATGCACTGCCTGCAGCACAGTGTCCCCTATTCGAAAGGATCTGGTTTAAACTGAGATTAAATGTAATTAATGCGCTGCCTGCAGCACAGTGTCCCCTATTCAGATGGATCTGGTTTAAACTGGGATTAAATGTAATTAATGCACTGCCTGCAGCACAGTGTCCCCTATTCAGGTGGATCTGGTTTAAACTGGGATTAAATGTAATTAATGCGCTGCCTGCAGCACAGTGTCCCCTATTTGAAAGGATCTGGTTTAAACTGGGATTAAATGTAATTAATGTGCTGCCTGCAGCACAGTGTCCCCTATTCAGATGGATCTGGTTTAAACTGGGATTAAATGTAATTAATGCACTGCCTGCAGCACAGTGTCCCCTATTCAGATGGATCTGGTTTAAACTGGGATTAAATGTAATTAATGCGCTGCCTGCAGCACAGTGTCCCCTATTCGAAAGGATCTGGTTTAAACTGGGATTAAATGTAATTAATGCGCTGCCTGCAGCATAGTGTCCCCTATTCGAAAGGATCTGGTTTAAACTGGGATTAAATGTAATTAATGCACTGCCTGCAGCACAGTGTCCCCTGTTCAGGTGGATCTGGTTTAAACTGGGATTAAATGTAATTAATGCACTGCCTGCAGCACAGTGTCCCCTATTTGAAAGGATCTGGTTTAAACTGGGATTAAATGTAATTAATGCACTGCCTGCAGCACAGTGTCCCCTATTTGAAAGGATCTGGTTTAAACTGGGATTAAATGTAATTAATGCACTGCCTGCAGCACAGTGTCCCCTATTCGAAAGGATCTGGTTTAAACTGGGATTAAATGTAATTAATGCGCTGCCTGCAGCACAGTGTCCCCTATTCAGATGGATCTGGTTTAAACTGGGATTAAATGTAATTAATGCGCTGCCTGCAGCACAGTGTCCCCTATTCGAAAGGATCTGGTTTAAACTGGGATTAAATGTAATTAATGCACTGCCTGCAGCACAGTGTCCCCTATTCAGGTGGATCTGGTTTAAACTGGGATTAAATGTAATTAATGCACTGCCTGCAGCACAGTGTCCCCTATTTGAAAGGATCTGGTTTAAACTGGGGTTAAATGTAATTAATGCGCTGCCTGCAGCACAGTGTCCCCTATTCCGATGGATCTGGTTTAAACTGGGATTAAATGTAATTAATGCACTGCCTGCAGCACAGTGTCCCCTATTCGAAAGGATCTGGTTTAAACTGGGATTAAATGTAATTAATGCACTGCCTGCAGCACAGTGTCCCCTATTCAGATGGATCTGGTTTAAACTGGGATTAAATGTAATTAATACACTGCCTGCAGCACAGTGTCCCCTATTCAGATGGATCTGGTTTAAACTGGGATTAAATGTAATTAATGCGCTGCCTGCAGCACAGTGTCCCCTATTCGAAAGGATCTGGTTTAAACTGGGATTAAATGTAATTAATGCGCTGCCTGCAGCACAGTGTCCCCTATTCGAAAGGATCTGGTTTAAACTGGGATTAAATGTAATTAATGCACTGCCTGCAGCACAGTGTCCCCTATTCAGGTGGATCTGGTTTAAACTGGGATTAAATGTAATTAATGCACTGCCTGCAGCACAGTGTCCCCTATTCGAAAGGATCTGGTTTAAACTGGGATTAAATGTAATTAATGCACTGCCTGCAGCACAGTGTCCCCTATTCGAAAGGATCTGGTTTAAACTGGGATTAAATGTAATTAATGCACTGCCTGCAGCACAGTGTCCCCTATTCAGGTGGATCTGGTTTAAACTGGGATTAAATGTAATTAATGCACTGCCTGCAGCACAGTGTCCCCTATTCGAAAGGATCTGGTTTAAACTGGGATTAAATGTAATTAATGCGCTGCCTGCAGCACAGTGTCCCCTATTCAAATGGATCTGGTTTAAACTGGGATTAAATGTAATTAATGCACTGCCTGCAGCACAGTGTCCCCTATTCAGATGGATCTGGTTTAAACTGGGATTAAATGTAATTAATGCGCTGCCTGCAGCACAGTGTCCCCTATTCGAAAGGATCTGGTTTAAACTGGGATTAGATGTAATTAATGCGCTGCCTGCAGCACAGTGTCCCCTATTCGAAAGGATCTGGTTTAAACTGGCATTAAATGTAATTAATGCACTGCCTGCAGCACAGTGTCCCCTATTCGAAAGGATCTGGTTTAAACTGGGATTAAATGTAATTAATGCACTGCCTGCAGCACAGTGTCCCCTATTCGAAAGGATCTGGTTTAAACTGGGATTAAATGTAATTAATGCGCTGCCTGCAGCACAGTGTCCCCTATTCAGATGGATCTGGTTTAAAATGGGATTAAATGTAATTAATGCACTGCCTGCAGCACAGTGTCCCCTATTCGAAAGGATCTGGTTTAAACTGGGATTAAATGTAATTAATGCACTGCCTGCAGCACAGTGTCCCCTATTCAGATGGATCTGGTTTAAACTGGGATTAAATGTAATTAATACACTGCCTGCAGCACAGTGTCCCCTATTCAGATGGATCTGGTTTAAACTGGGATTAAATGTAATTAATGCACTGCCTGCAGCACAGTGTCCCCTATTCAGAAGGATCTGGTTTAAACTGGGAGTAATGTAATTAATGCACTGCCTGCAGCACAGTGTCCCCTATTCAGATGGATCTGGTTTAAACTGGGATTAAATGTAATTAATGCGCTGCCTGCAGCACAGTGTCCCCTATTCGAAAGGATCTGGTTTAAACTGGGATTAAATGTAATTAATGCGCTGCCTGCAGCACAGTGTCCCCTATTCGAAAGGATCTGGTTTAAACTGGGATTAAATGTAATTAATGCACTGCCTGCAGCACAGTGTCCCCTATTCAGGTGGATCTGGTTTAAACTGGGATTAAATGTAATTAATGCACTGCCTGCAGCACAGTGTCCCCTATTCGAAAGGATCTGGTTTAAACTGGGATTAAATGTAATTAATGCACTGCCTGCAGCACAGTGTCCCCTATTCGAAAGGATCTGGTTTAAACTGGGATTAAATGTAATTAATGCACTGCCTGCAGCACAGTGTCCCCTATTCAGGTGGATCTGGTTTAAACTGGGATTAAATGTAATTAATGCACTGCCTGCAGCACAGTGTCCCCTATTCGAAAGGATCTGGTTTAAACTGGGATTAAATGTAATTAATGCGCTGCCTGCAGCACAGTGTCCCCTATTCAAATGGATCTGGTTTAAACTGGGATTAAATGTAATTAATGCACTGCCTGCAGCACAGTGTCCCCTATTCAGATGGATCTGGTTTAAACTGGGATTAAATGTAATTAATGCGCTGCCTGCAGCACAGTGTCCCCTATTCGAAAGGATCTGGTTTAAACTGGGATTAGATGTAATTAATGCGCTGCCTGCAGCACAGTGTCCCCTATTCGAAAGGATCTGGTTTAAACTGGCATTAAATGTAATTAATGCACTGCCTGCAGCACAGTGTCCCCTATTCGAAAGGATCTGGTTTAAACTGGGATTAAATGTAATTAATGCACTGCCTGCAGCACAGTGTCCCCTATTCGAAAGGATCTGGTTTAAACTGGGATTAAATGTAATTAATGCGCTGCCTGCAGCACAGTGTCCCCTATTCAGATGGATCTGGTTTAAAATGGGATTAAATGTAATTAATGCACTGCCTGCAGCACAGTGTCCCCTATTCGAAAGGATCTGGTTTAAACTGGGATTAAATGTAATTAATGCACTGCCTGCAGCACAGTGTCCCCTATTCAGATGGATCTGGTTTAAACTGGGATTAAATGTAATTAATACACTGCCTGCAGCACAGTGTCCCCTATTCAGATGGATCTGGTTTAAACTGGGATTAAATGTAATTAATGCACTGCCTGCAGCACAGTGTCCCCTATTCAGAAGGATCTGGTTTAAACTGGGAGTAATGTAATTAATGCACTGCCTGCAGCACAGTGTCCCCTATTCAGATGGATCTGGTTTAAACTGGGATTAAATGTAATTAATGCGCTGCCTGCAGCACAGTGTCCCCTATTCGAAAGGATCTGGTTTAAACTGGGATTAAATGTAATTAATGCGCTACCTGCAGCACAGTGTCCCCTATTCAGATGGATCTGGTTTAAACTGGGATTAAATGTAATTAATGCGCTGCCTGCAGCACAGTGTCCCCTATTCGAAAGGATCTGGTTTAAACTGGGATTAAATGTAATTAATGCGCTGCCTGCAGCACAGTGTCCCCTATTCAGATGGATCTGGTTTAAACTGGGATTAAATGTAATTAATGCGCTGCCTGCAGCACAGTGTCCCCTATTCGAAAGGATCTGGTTTAAACTGGGATTAAATGTAATTAATGCAATGCCTGCAGCACAGTGTCCCCTATTCAGGTGGATCTGGTTTAAACTGGGATTAAATATAATTAATGCACTGCCTGCAGCACAGTGTCCCCTATTCAGATGGATCTGGTTTAAACTGGGATTAAATGTAATTAATGCGCTGCCTGCAGCACAGTGTCCCCTATTTGAAAGGATCTGGTTTAAACTGGGATTAAATGTAATTAATGTGCTGCCTGCAGCACAGTGTCCCCTATTCGAAAGGATCTGGTTTAAACTGGGATTAAATGTAATTAATGCACTGCCTGCAGCACAGTGTCCC